AGGAAGGCCCTAGCCCAGTTTTTTGGGTAACTATCACAATGCTTGAGTTTTTACAACTACAGAATTACATAGTTGCACCAGAGACAATATGGCCTGAAAACCTAAAATATGTTCTACCTCTAAAGTGAAATGTTTTACAACTGTGATCTAGACCAATGTGCCCTGATATTTTTCAGTAAGCAATAACTATAAGTCTTCTAGGACTCAGAAGAAAAATAAGAATATGCAACTTTTCGTTATTCTAACTACCCAACAACCGAACATCTGTTCTTATGCTCCATTCTCAATACCACTTAATATAAAAACTATGATTCTTTTTCTGGCACTTGACAATTAGTACTAGTCTTTATCCTCATCACTATGGTGAAAATCTGAGAAGGAAAAGTAAGAAACCACAAGCTTTGTTAAAAATACAAAAGAAAATCTAAGACTTCGGTTTCAGCTCCAATACGTAGAGTTTGGGTACCACTGTCTCTATCCTTATAATCAGAAAAATAAACTAAGAGACTGAAAATCAGTGACTTTTCTTGAACACTGAAGAGTTAAATTTTCAAGGCAAATCACCATCCTAAATTCAGAAAGAAAGTTGAATTCAAAAGATCACAGATAAATCTTAAATGGTAGAGAAGCCACCAGAACCAATAAAAAATGGTAGGGACATTTAAATGGTAATTTTGACAAATTCCTAGAGGAGAGTCTTGGTATGGCCACACTTTCATGGATTTTTCTGCTATGAACCCCACCAGATCCTTGTGCTAAAGACCCAAGAAACTAAATATGCCCAGAGCATTATCTATAAAAGAGGCACACTGTCTAGGAGAAAAGGCTTAACTGGATTCTTCCCTTACATGCCCTCAGGCTTGACCACAATACCCCAGTGCACCCCAGTACAATAGTAGTGGATTACAGTTGGAAGAGTTGCAAGACACAAACTTCAACTAAAGAGTCCTTTGAGAAGCCAGAAAAAAGAATTTAAAAAACAAAGACACTAGAAGAATATGATGTTCTGGCACCTACAGTTAGAGAAAACTAAGCAAAGACTAACTCCTGGCCAAATTAACAGAAAATAGACCCCCAAAGACCTATTTACCAGAGTTCTTATTACTGAGTACATCATATCTGACTTTCAAGAAAAAATGAGAAGGCATACTAAATGACATTTGAAGAGAAAATGCAAGCATTAGAACCAGCCAATGATGGGCTTATCAGCATACTGGAGACTGTCAATGATAAGTTCAAAGATAAGTTGCTAGAAACTTTCAAAACTGAAATGTAAAGAAGAAAAACATTAAAATTTAACATCAAAGAACTATGGGATAACTCTGAAAGGTGTGTCATACATATAATTGGAATACCAATTATACCAAAGTAAGAATGAGTCTTTTAAAAATGTGAAGCAGGCCCTCCCTAGTGGCGCAGCATGTTAAAGCACAGCACTAAGAAGCTAACGCCACTTCAGCATGAGTTCAATCCCCGCCTGCCCCGGAGGTGACCCACATGGCACGACAGACCTCTCCTGACCCGCCTGCTGCTCCCCTCAGCAGTGTACTATTGGAATCTTCATCTCAAAATAAGTGAAGATTAGAACATGAGAGGCTGTGCATATAAATAAAACACTGTCGCCATCTCGTGATGATCACTATTAGACAACAGCTCTAGAATAAAAATTAAATACCACCATCTAGAACAAAAGATCGTAAACTAAGGTCCACACATCAAATCCAATTCATAGCCCATATGCAACACGGTCTGACCCAGTTTTTGTTTTTTTTTTTTTAAGATTTATTTATTTATACACACAGAACAGAGGTACAGGCTAGAGGTGCAGGGGCGGCAAGAGGCTTCACCAGAGACAGAGCAGGGAGCAGAACAGGCAGATGGACGAAGTACACTGCCGAGGGGAGCAGCGGGCGGGTCAGGAGAGGTCTGCTGCGCCATGTGGATCACCTCCAGGGTGGGGATCGAACTCATGCTGAAGTGGCTTTAGCTTCTTAGTGCTGTGCTTTAACCCACTGTGCCACCAAGGAAGGCCCTAGCC